ATGAAAAAATAGAGGTAAACAATATAAGTCTTTATACCCTTCTTAAAGACGTCCTTAAAAAGAAGTTAAAATGTGAGAAAAATGACAGCGTCACATGGAGTTTGCTTATAATAACGTGTTTCATATTACTACACAATATTCATATTTTGAAATTTTGTATTGTTTTAATCTATTAACACCTATTGATTTATTACCATTTCCTAACACTTCTCTTTTGTAACATAAGGATAAAAAAAGCTAAGGATAAATTTTCAAAGAAATTACATGAGCAAGGTTAAGATACATATTGATAAGAAAATTTAAAGCTACGCTAAGTATGCAAATAAAAGCAGAAAGAAAATGGTGTTTAAAACCCGGAGATTGGGTTTGGGTCCATATAAGGAAGGAAATGTTTCCATTACAAAAAAAAATCAATTTATAGCCAATGGGAGATAGTCTATTTAAATTGCTTTCAAATATAAATAAAAATAAATACAAGATATAAATTCCTAGTTAGTATGAAATAATTTCCACTTTCAATGTTTTTGATTTATCTCATCTTGATATAGGTGATTATGAGCTCAATTTGAGGTCGGATTTTCTTCAAGAGGGAGGGGATGGTGAGGAAATGGAACACCAATACTTAAATGAAGTGATACAAATCTTAGGAGGTCCCATGACAAGGGAACATGTTAGAAGAGTCAACGTGTCCTAATAAAATTTATGACCAAACGAATGGGAGAAAATGACCAATTGAGAGGAAATGCGGTAAAACTTTTCATTTTTATCCAAACTCATGAAGAGGGGATGACATGTGGGTTTCCTGCCCCATTTTAATGGTTTAATTAATCATGTTGTAATAAAATGTGTAAGGATCCAAATTTTCCAAATTTGCCCCAAAAACACTTTATTCTTTTTAGGTGTTTTTTAAAACCATATTAAAGCTTCTAATGCTTTAAAATTTTGTGGATTTTATTTATAAGAAAATGGGTCGAAGAAAAGAAGAGATTGCGCGCGCGCGCACACACACACACACACACACCAAGAGGTGGTACTACAGTGATCAAAGTTGCTATAAATTGCTATTATTCATCAAAGCATTGAATAAACACTCCCTCCACCACCTTTTTGTGTGTGATCTTTCAGCCTCAAGCTTATAGCATTTCATCAATTATTATTGTAAAATCAACAAGCTACCTTATATTTATAAATAAGGAGCTAATCATGAATAAAAATCAAGTTAATTTTGTTAAATAAACACATATGTAATTTTGAGAGCTTTGCTCCTTTTGTTATGGATTGGACCATGTTTTGATCTTATTAAGAAACAAAGTTTCTTGTGGTGATCTTCGCTAAGGCTCATCATCCTTTATAGTTCATAGAAATTGTGTGGCGCCACATTCCTAATATTTTCCATCAATTTATACAAAAATTTACTTTATTTCAATGCTGTCCCAACTCTAATACTACATATAATTTCGCGATTCCTGCTCTATCTTATCACATTAAAATCACTAGTTTCATAAATTAACCAAATCATGAGAAAAATGATTAAATTTCAAATTGGTTATTCATCAGGAGGGATTGGATCTTGTGGTGTAGGAACCGATGGAAAAGTTACTAGGACAAGATCATCCTCAACCATAGGAGATAGTAGAACCTCCATAGCGAGACTAGGAACACTGACAATTGGATCGCCCATAACACTAGTGTTGCTTTGGATGGTAGATTGAGTGGCTATCGACGTTGCCATTGTCTCAAAAGTTTGATTTCTAATTTGAACGAGGAGATCTTAGCTTGCCGAGTTACGGTGAAAAGAAAATGGTTTCTTCTGGAATTTAGCAGGAATCAAATATCGATTTTTATAGGAGGTGCCAATGTTCTATTTAGGAACCATAAATGGTTGATGATTTAGTGAAATATAACTCAGGTATAGTGAAGCGAGCTTCCGGTACGGCAGACTGGGATAGACGTGGTTCAAGAAAAACTTCAAATCGAATTGTTTCAGCTCCTGCAATTTTAGAGTGTGTTTGGTTCAGATAGATAAATGAGAATGACGGAGAAAGTTTTAGTTAAATATATTTGGTTCAAATTTTAGGAGGGAAAGATAGGGGAGGGGAGCAAAATTCCTCCAAAACACACATTTTGCGTCTCTCCGAACTATGGGAATTTGGAAGGGAGGGGGAGAGAATATGAGTTTTGATATTTAAACAATTATTATATTTACTAAAATATCCTCAGTTTAATTTTAGCATTTCAAAATTATTCGTTTTCATTTGTGTTATTGTTTCTCCTTTTTGTGATTTTTCTCAATTGCTTCGATCAATTTATTATAATGATTCTTCACCTTCAAATTATTTTCAAATTTTTGTATTTAATATAAATCATAATCATTGCATTTTTTTATTTATAATTTTTTATGTTTATTTATATTCGTTTTTTTTTCTTCTTTCTAATTTTGTTATGTTTCCAATCATATTTTCTTTTATATTAAATTTTAAACCATTCATTTTATTTATTTTTATTTATTTATTTATTTTATTAAATATTTTGAAGCATTAATGTTCAATAGTAAGTTATTTTATCTAATTTTTTTGTTAAATGATTCATTGTAATTTAAAAATTGTTATAAATATATAGTTTAATTTGTGTCAGAGAGTTATAATCCGAATTAAGTGTACTTAATTTTTTTAACTCTATATGATATATTATTACTTTTTTAGTCGCTCAATATTAGAAATTTTATTATCAAAAAAATATACATAAAATTTTCACATTTTAATATCATATCATTTATATAATATCATAAGGATAAATATATAAAATATTAATAAAATCCTCAGCACCATTCTTAAATCAAATATATTTTTAATTAAAATCATTCTCTTCTCCTTCCCTCTTTTCTTTTAAACCAAACACTTACCTAATTAAAAAATCTTCCACCTTTCTACTTCTTTTTTTTTCTCAATTAAAATTTCTTTTATTCCCTCCAATTTGTTTAAACCAAATACACCCGCTCCTCAAAGAAAGGATATTAAATTTATTATTCAAGATAAGAAAGTACTTGTTTAGTATAGTTTGTTACTTTGAAATAGAAAATGAATGTGAGATATTTTAAAGTGCCATGATATTCTAAATGAGTTGATTTTTGTGCAACATTTGTTTTCATATTAATGTGGGATATGGAAGAAAATAAGAGGTAGATTGGTGGAAATTAATAGAGGAGAAAACAAAAGAATAAAATACAAGTGAACCATTCTACCTCCATCATTCATTAAATACAAATCCAACTGTGCCAAACCCTAATTTGGCCACTACCTCTATCAAATTAATTAAAAACTTATCAATCTTAGATTTCATTTGGACTTTGAATACTTGGTCCTACCATCATGAATTAATTTAATCTAATTAAGATTTTATCACCTTATTCTTAAACACTATGCTCCATCACAATATACATAGCATCACGTTGTAAAATTTTAAATAAAAAAAATGCTAAAGACCAACTATATATAAAGTTGTGGCAAAAAAAAAAATAAAAAGATCAATATCTTAAAAATTAGATTTAAATTAATTGAAAATCAACTCTTGTTTTTGAACATTTAATTTTAATATTTTATACTTTTCTTTTATAATTTGATAATTGAATTGATCGAATCAATTCATATCCAAAAAAGAAGAAAAGAGAAACACACGCAATCATCAATTTTCTGATTCTATTTGAGAAAAAGGTAAGAACTTGAATTCTCCCCCCTTCAGAAACACAAACAATCTCTCTAATTTCATACTTTATTCAAAACTAATCTCTCTTGTTTTTGTTTCTTCTTCTTTTCAATTACTTTGGGTTTCTTTAACCAAGTTACTTACGAACTTCTTGATCTTTTTTGTTATTATTTTCATTGGAATTTAGCTATTTGTTAAATTCTCGCGATTTGAAGCTACCCCATTTGCCAAAGATGAAATTTTTACTCCGCATTTATATGTGGGTCACTTGGATTTTTTGCTCTGTGCTACAAGTTTGGGGGTGATTTATTTATAATTTGTTTGCTTTGTTTTTGATTCTTGATGAGTATTTGTTGTGTTTGTGTATGCTGTTTGAGATTGAAATAGTTAATTCACTGTTTTTGGTTAGCACCATTGTATTTATTACATATGAAACATAGGCATGATGATATGATATTGATGTGATGTAAAGCAGGTATCCTCTGCGTGCAATTTCGGAGACTACTTCCTCGAATCTTGAGGGATCCTAATTGGAAAGAGTTTTGATGCTGCTGCATTCCTAATCTCAGGTTCGAACCTGGGACCTTGGTTAAGTTAGAAGAGATTCGTGTCATCTCATTTAAGTGCTTTTGAGTTCAAACACACATTCAATCTGAAGTGTCGGTGTGTTTAATATTAATATCCTTATGCATGTTTTCTTTTGCGGGTTAATGGCACACTGTCTATTGTAAATCCTAAATTTTGTATAACTCATGAAACTTTTCAGAATTTGTTAGAAATGTTTTTGATTTATAAGTATGATCACTGTGCTCCAATTGTATTGTAGTTTTGTCAAATAGCAGGTTTAGTACTGCATCTAGCAGAATTTTAACACGCCACTATTATTTCATCACACAATTTAGTGAAAACTGTTGTCAGAAAATGGATATTGTAGTTCTATAATACTACAACGTAGCAGAATTTGAACAACCCACTATTTTGCGTGATTGACAACGGTATAATGTCCATACTCAATATATTCAGGAGTTTGATGATTATCTATTTTTGAGGAATTAGATTGCTATATTAATGTGATTTCAATAGTGATGTGATTGACAATGTTGTGTTGGAGTAGTTGAGACATTTAACTTAGGATTATGAGTTTCATGATGATCTAGTTTAGAGGATTCGTATTGATGTGTTTCAATATTCATTTTGCTTACCTTTATGTTTCAGGTAATGCAAGTGCTTTGACAAAAACTGGATATTAGGTGTCTTGTTTTCGAACTTGACAAGATAGTATAGTAGGGTGAAAAGAGATGGCTGCATCTAGAAAAACAAGAACTATGTTTGAAGATCTGGTAAAAGACGGATCACTTAAATGGTTGCTTGGTAAGAAGAGTTCTTTCGATGAAGAATTTGAGGAGATGGAAAATTCACCTTCTGCTGGGAAGAATTTTATACGCGAGCTTTCTCCAGTTGCAAACCTAGTAGTACGTAGATGTTCAAAGTAAGTGTATTTTTTGGTCTCTTGTTTACTTGGCAACAATAATACTTCATTATGAGTTTTCAAACTTTCACTCTTGTTTGATTTAGTTTGAATATTAGGTTGCTGAGAACCCTTAGCATTTCTTTTTGCTTGATACATTGTCTGATGATATTTTGATTGGAAATTAAAATGTAAATAAAAACAAACGATGCAGAATCCTTAAGACCACTTCAAGTGATCTTCAGGAGAGCTTCAATCACGAGGCATCTGATTCCATAAAGATTCCATCACGATATGCGAGGAACTTACTGGAGTATTGTTGTTTCAAAGCACTTTCATTGAGAGCACAAATGTCTGGTCATCTACTTGATAAAACATTCCGGCGCTTGACGTACGACATGATGTTAGCTTGGGAGGTCCCAGCTGCCACTAGCCAACCTCTGATTAATGTATGGCTTTCAGAATACGAGTGAGATTTTATATTATGCATATGCATTCTATCTATAGGTTTATTTGTAGTTCTTTTAGTAATACTAACAAGCCTCAATTTATTAGAAGGTTGATGAAGAAGTGTCTGTTGGATTAGAAGCTTTTTGTCGAATTGCTCCTGCAGTTCCCATCATTGCCAATGTCATCATTTGCGAAAATCTTTTTGAGGTGCTGAGTTCGTCAACTGGCGGTCGCCTTCTGTTCTCTGTCTATGACAAGTACCTCAGTGGGATAGAAAAGTAACAACCTCTACCTTTAAATATGTCATTGCTTTTCCTTTTGTCTGGAATTCAGTAATAGTCTATGTATAGTTTATGATCGAACATTTACGTAATACCTATACCTTTAAATATTTTTATCTTTTCAGAGCAATAAAAAAAATGAAGAGCAATTCAGAGTCGTCTCTTCTTTCTGCTATAAGACTGAATAGGTGTGAGAAGATTCTTGAAGTTGATGGAACCGTCACAACACAGCCAGTTCTTGAGCATGTAGGGATTTCCACCTGGCCTGGTAAGTGTAAAAATATATGTTCCCATTATATATAATATAAACTCGGTGACTATAAAGTGCGGTCACAGGACTCGACATTGACATATACATGTTGATATTGATATTAATTTGAGAAAATGGTTTAATTGAGTGTAGCCACATGTGTTGGCGTCGTGTCAATGTCGGAAACCAACATGGTTTGGTGCTACATATTGCCGATGCTGTAAAAACATGCATTATTCATTTTTCAAGACTTTAACGATTCTTTGTAATATGCACGCAGGACGGTTAATCTTGACAGATCATGCACTTTATTTTGAAGAACTTCGTGTTGTATCATATGACAAACCAAAAAGATATGATTTATCTGATGATCTAGACCAAGTTGTTAAACCCGAGTTAACTGGACCATGGGGTACTCGACTTTTTGACAAAGCAGTATTCTATAGTTCAACAGTCTTGTAAGTAATAATTTCACAATTATTTTTTTTATAGATAATTGATAACTGCAAAAGTTTATCTTGCTATCAACTTTTAAATTGTATTTCTCTTGTAGATCAGAACCAGCCGTACTAGAATTTCCAGAGCTTAAAGGTCACGCTCGTCGTGATTATTGGCTAGCTATCATCAGAGAGATTCTCTGTGCTCACAAATTCATAAGCAAGTACGGACTTAAAGGGGTTGCACGGGACGAAGCAATTTGGAAGGCTGTTTTAGGAATTTTGCGTTTACAAGCAATCCAAGATATTAGTTCTTTGGGCCCTATAGAGAATAATTCTCTTCTCATGTTCAATTTATGTGATCAGCTTCCAGGAGGAGATTTGATATTAGAAACCCTTGTAAATATGTCGAACTCAAGGGAGTCGGATCGCGTGAATGATTCCAAACCTGAAAATGAAATGTATTCTATCTCGGTCTTAGACATGGTTTCAAACCTAGGATTCGTTTTTGGAACAAGTTCAAACGAGAGCAGAATTGCTGTAGGTGAAATAACTGTTGGAGAAATGACTCCATTGGAAAGAGTGGTTAAAGAATCTAAGAACAATTATAAAAAAGTCGTATCCGCACAGGCAACCGTTGACGGTGTTAAAGTTGATGGCATTGACACTAATTTGGTTGTCATGAAGGTACTAATTCACTATCCATTTTTACCTTTTAGCCAAGCTCTTATATGTTTTGCTTTTATCAATAGTGTTATTGGCTGTGAAGCACTAACACTGACACTAACATATAAACACCAGTAATAATTTAATCCAAATTCGGAATAAAGAACCCTGATTCCATGAATAATCTTATTTTATCTCTAATTTCAGGAATTACTTTATCCTCTAGATGAACTTAGGAAGTCTCTTCAATCTTTGGCATATTGGGATGATCCATTGAAGTCTTCTGGGTTTTGTTTGTTCTTCGGTTACATTATCTGGAGGTAAAACTTTCATAGACCGATCAATATTTTATATTGACATGTTATTTGTTGAAATGAGGGAAGAGAAAAAACATTTTCTATTGAAACTTTATGAAGTTATAAAATCAGATAAGTATTTTAAGGGTAACAGTTATATGGATGATAAGTACTTTAGAAAAACAAATTATTCTGATGTCTCATTTTTAATAGTCTTGTTTGGATCCACAACTTAATTAAGCGCTTATGTTGCACTTATAACATAAGCCTGTGTTTATATATTAGTTATTTCTATAAGATAAAATAAAGTCAAATTGTTTTCATACAAGTTATAAGCTGATGCCATAAAATATTTTCGAAAGTTTATGAGAATTAGCTTAAAACGGCTTATGTACATGTCATAATTATTTCCATAATCTCTTCCACTAAGGGTCTGTTTGAATAAACAATTTATTTGCAGTTTATTGATAGCACAAGTGCTTACCAAATTAAACACTTATGAATGAACTTGCATAAACTATTTATATAACAGCAAGTTCAATAAAAATAGTTTATGCAAGTTCATAACGAATCTGAGTAGTTCATATATTAACATGTTGGCTATCATGTTTGCTCCGACTAGTTCATAATGAATCTCGCCGTTATTGAATTTGAGTAGTTCATATTTTCCCGCTGTTATGCAAGATTCATTTTGCTCTGAGTTATTTTTGTAAGTAATTTTTGAGAACTTATATTAACAAACAGGCCAGTCCATGAGTGTTTATATCAATAGGTAAGCTCAAATAAGCCATCCAAACATTGCCTTCTTTTGATAACTTATATAATTTTATTATAATTGCAGGGGTTGGCTTGGCTATGCAGCAGCACTATTCCTTGTGTTCCTTTCAATTTTTATGATACTTACCAAATGTTTTAATCAAGGTAGGCCTGTAACCGAAATCAAAGTAGTAGCACCTCCACCAATGAATACAATGGAACAGCTTTTAGCTGTTCAGAATGCCGTCTCTCAAGCCGAACAGCTCATACAAGACGGTAACATATTTCTTCTCAAAATCCGCGGCTTGTTATTCTCCATTTTTCCTCAGGTGTTTTCTCATTCCCCTACTCCAATAGTTGCTTTTCTCTCGAAAGAATCATACATTGTAATAATTGGTATTTTTTATATCAGGCTACAGAGAAGATGGCATTTGGTCTTGTATCAGCTGCATTGGTGTTGGCTTTCTTACCTTGTAAATACGTAGTTCTTCTATTGTTCTTGGGCACATTTACGATGTATTCACCTCCGAGGAAAGCTAGCACTGAGAAATGGGAGAGAAGATTAAGGGAATGGTGGTTCAGCATACCAGCCGCCCCGGTTAAACTCGAAAGAGATAAAGAGGACAAGAAGAGAAAATGATGATAACGACCATTAAAGCTTTGGCTGTGAAAGTTATGTACATGTTTCTGTTGAATACTTAGATTCTCTGCTGTAACAGTGTCAAACAAATATATATATCTCTCGATCGGATGGTTGGATTGAAATCATTTAAAACTAATATACTGGCAGAGTAATATGAACCGTCTGATCTAAACCAGTGGCCGGAATTTGTTACTGCACGAGACCTGTGTGATGTTTTTACAGCAGGGATTTCGAGTCACTTCTCATATGTAGAATTGTTTGAAATGTAAAACTCAACAGTTGAAGCAAAGTGATTAGAAAACGAAATGAATCTTGCATAGAATTTCTTTGGTATATTTTTTATCTCTCTATATAATCAATGTAACATGTAGTAGTATAGAGTTTAGTGCACCATTTTCAACCCAAAAAGCATGTGAAAATTCTCAAAAACTAACAAATAAATAGCAATAAAATTAGAGCTAGCAACATAGAAAGCCAAAACTTTCTTTATTATTCTGAATAACAAAATCTATGAAATTCACTATAAAAAAACTGGAATAATAAATCCCCTGAGAGGTACAACTTTTTGTCTACAACAAACAAGTATTATTAATTCTTCAAAAAATAAAATGAAGTTCTATCCTGGAAAACTAGAACTTTTATTGGCACAAAAAATTCAAACCAGAGAAAAACCTCCACTATAATCCATAGTCACCAAACTCATTCATCCCTTCCAAGGTGTTAGAGTTTGGAAGACCGGCTGTCATGTTGTGAGAGAAAAATGAATCTGAGTAGTTCAATAACGGCAATAACGGCGGGCTCGAGTACAAAAACTCCGCCGAGTTTGATGCCAAATAGTTTGTCAGGTAAGGGTTAAACGGAGGCTCAAACATTGGTGCCTCCGTAGCAATAAAATATTGATTTTCTCGATTTTCTCCAATATTGTTTCCATAAATGTGTTCGTCCGTGATCACCGATGACGACACGTCATTGTCCTCGTTTCTCTGCATAACCACTTTCTTTTGGTCATTCTCTTTGTCTCCCACCATATTGCTCGTGCCAGACTCTTGTTTTGGAGGTTGGTGTTGAGACGACGAAACAATATTGTTCTCGTCATTCTTTACCTTTTCCTCCGAGCGAGTGAGTCCGGTGAGCTTTTGCACCAATTGCATGAAGTCCTTAGGCTCCGTGTGGATGACACGCGGAGAATGCGTGTAGATTATTACAGGGTGACGATGTTGTTGAGGTGGTTTATTTGATGTTGCCATGCTATTGATCATCGTTGATGAAGTCGACGATGACGAAGAAGATGATGATGGTGGCGATGAAGATGATTTTTTGATGAAATGAGAATCTCTATTGATTTTCAAATGTGGTGGTAACATTCCATTACCGTTGTTGTTGTTGGATTTTGTGAAGATTGGGGTGATTTCTTTCTTGGCATGAAATTGTGAAGGACTCATGGTTTTTGTTTATGAAAGAAATGCAACAAAATCACAATATAACAAAATGAAAATTAGGTATATGGTTATGAAGAATTATATATAAGGGTTTGCTTTAAATGGATTTACGCAAACCTAAAAAAACTAGGAAAATAAATTTAAAAATAAAAACAAAAACGGTTTAGATTGTTATGATTTTGTGGAGGTGGTTAATTAAGGTAAAGATTTATTAGGGTGAATTTGTTACATGCATAGCAAAAATAAAAATTGTTAGGAGGAGAGTTTGTTAGCCAATACAGTTATGACACGTAGGCAATGTGAAAATGGGAAAGGGTAGTTTGGGATTTCATTGAGTGAGGATGAGTGTGCTCGATGTGTGCGTAGTGGTGACGTGTTCAAAGAAGCTAAAGAGATGGGCTATTTTAGCAGTGTTTTATGATGTTTTGGTGCGGTTGTGCGTAATTTAAGGTTATTCAGAACTAGAAACAACTAAATTCCTAGAACGTCGAGTTTTATAATTTAACCTTACTCATTAACTTACTGTAAAAAAATTACTTAAATTTAAACTTATTTTTATTATTATTAATATTAAAAAAATTAAACTTATTATTGCATTTATCTTTTTATTCACGCGTCACACACTTGCTCTTCGTAAATATAGCATTTTTAACGGTAAATATAGCTCACTAAATTTTCAAAAACAATATATATAGCTGAATTAATTTTTATTGATAAAAAATTGTTGTTTAAGAAACTAAATGTTTTATCAAATAATAATTAGGATCTAAAAATACACAATTGTTATATTTAGAAGAAAAATGCAAATAACAATAACGATGATGAGGATTTAATCCATATCCATTCATAATGTCAGAGTATAAGTTAATCATATCGGTCATATATTTGAAAATATTTTATAGTATAAGTTAATCCATAACGGTCATATATTTGAAAATATTGAATTTATTTTAACTCTTTAAAATTACTTAAAATGGCTATGATCGATTAATAGTGTATAAACATTGAATTGAATCATGTTCCATTGTGAAATCATAAATATAAAGTTGTGAAAGTTACGGTAGAGTAAAGTTTCCGATGCGATGAAGTGGAGGTGTATTTGCAAAGTTAACATTTTGACGCTCAAGTTAGTATATAAAAGAGTGGATAGTATTCAAATTGTATTTGAAACTTGTTATTTGAGATGACACCATTCCTTATATATATGCGTGATGAATAACTGTCTCGCTATCTTTCAGACGTGAAATTCGGAGGACCGTTGAATGTGCGTGAGACATGAATCTCTTGCAGTTGGATATATGATAGTTAGGAGAATGTTTTAGAAGTGTGATTGAGCACCCGGTTGATACATTTCGGTCCGAAGCGTTGTGACTCAGGGTGGTCGGATAAGGGAGATATAGCCGGCTCAAAACAATTGTCCCCAAGACTTGTTTGGAGTTCTATAAACTGGGAAGTCTTTCGTAGTTGCGGTCGGCTATATCGAAGTCTTGTCTTGGGTTTTTTGAGGAATGAATCGTTTGGCATACGTCACTTGAAGGCTCTAAAGATTTGACTGAATTTTGGTAAAACATGGTGTTGAACAAGATGTTCCAACATGATGAAATCTGCTGAAAGAAGACATGTCAGACAAGATGTCCTAGCGTGTGGGATCAACATCTTGGTCTGATATAGCAGGTGGTTGCAGATCTGGTCCAAGATTTAAGGAGCAATCAGAACATGGATCAAAGGATGATTAAACAGATATTTCAAAACCCATGGACAACTGAAGATTATAAAAGGAAGACCAAGACCTAGGGTAGAATAAGAATTCTTATTAAGACTTTTGTAAAAGTAGAAAATAAGGGTTTAGGATTTTGAGAGTCGTGTACTTTCTTATGTTGTAATTCAGAAACCTGTAGGTAATGAATTGTATATTATTCTTGGATGAAGCTTTTAAGAAAATCCATGCATGATTGTTAGTCAAGAGTCTTGACTGAATATTATATTGGGAGAGGTGTCTTTCAATTGAACAGTTTGATACAGTCACCGGAGGTTGTGACTGTTAGATATCACTAAGGTGATTTAGGAATTGAGATGAGTTTCTCTTATCTAAATGGTGATTTCTAGATAAAATTGTACTAGGTAGGGATTAAGTGAGGAGTTGCAAATGGGGCAGTTTAGCTTTAAATTAATACTACTAATAGTGGATTCATTCCTGGCTTGGTAGCCCCCAGATGTAGGTGTTGTTGTTCACCGAACTGGGTCATCATATCTTGGTATTCTTTATCTTTCTGTTATATTAAATTCAGTCTGTATCTGTACTTTGAAATACATGTTTTGACAGATGTTGAAACATCTGTCATGACACTATTTTGACATTGATGGTTCAGAGGCTTCTTGATTTTAAGAGAACAAAATGTTTTTGTTTTGTCCTTGTTCTGTTTTTAGCAGAGATCAATGTCTCGACATCTCTTAGGACATCTGTGATCTGCACACCAGAATTTCATCACTGAAATAATGAAGGGATGCACATTTAATGCTTTCTTGTTGTTAATTCATTATCGCTTTTGATTGTTGACATGTCACCCTAGGCATGCGGGTTAGGAATCAATTACCCTATGTAGGGTACTCAAGTGATTTCCACCCTCATGTGGATTGATGGGACAAGAAACTTTTTACACTCAAATTTTTCCTATGTTATTCGATCTGAACCGTTGATCCTCACTTTTCCCTTTCTTAAAAGAATTTAGACGTTTCTTTCCAACTTCTTTCCCTGCTGTTACCACCTTCTTGTCTATTTTCTTCGCTTTTCTCTACTTCATTTTATGAATCCTAGGTCTTTACTTGATCCATTGGTTTGATGGCGGAGATCGCGGTGGAAGATTATTCTTGAGTCAAATTGAAATGCTTTTCCCATGAATATGCTTTTGTTCAGGATAGAGAAATGCCATTTGGTCCTTTAGAAATAGGGGTTTCCTCCGATTAGGGCAGTATACTGGTTTCAACCGAAAAAAGATATTTCACAAGTTTGAATGGTGTTTTATCCTTTTCTATGCCTGCATTTTTTTAGGATTTGAAAGTTTGCCTTCCACTGACTTCTTTTGAGAAAGAAGTTCTAGACCATCTTCGTGTTTCCCCTTCATAACTTCATCCCTGTGCCTGGGGTTTGTTAGAGTATTCCAATATTGGTATGAATACTTGGGAAAGATGGGTTCGAATTCTCAAGATCTATTTTTTTCACCTTTTTAAAGTATGTTATGCTTCAAAGGGTGTTGTTAGTCATACACATGTTTCCCTTCGCCGTGCTCAAAACAAAACCTTCAGGGTCTATGTTGATAGCTGGAAGTATTTTAAACCTAATTACTTCCTGGATAAGCATATTTTTCCTCTTTCTCATGAGGAATTTCCTTTGTTTCCCCTACTAATGCCAGGAAAACTGGTTGCACGAATCAACGATGACGATTCTGGTCTCCGAAACATTTTTCTGAATGTGCCAAAAGTTACTGGGTCTCTTATTAAGCTCTTAGTAAAGATGATAAAGATAAAAAAGAGATTATGGTTTCTTTTTCTGAAGATTGGATACCCTGCAAGGAAGTGGCGAAGGTTGATTCTATGGAAGGGAGGAAAAAAGTGTTTGATAAGTTGTTTTATTTATTTTTCTTTATAACTATATGGACATGTTTAGCCATCATCCTTTTACTTTTATTCGCCTTTCCAGATAAGTACAAGAAGAATTTGATCTCCGTGACAAGCATTATGTTAAATCTCGGGGTTACTCCACTTGTTCTGGCCCTTTCCGAGGATCATCCTAAAAAGAAGCGTGTAAGGACCGGTGCGGCTTTCCCTAACAAATATCGGGTAAAAAGGACAAAACGAATGAAGGTTGACATTGTGACTGATATCGCCAAAGGGTGAAAGAGTATTTCTTTTCACATGCCTTCCATTGCTTCTCAACAACCTGAGGGAGTAAACAACCTAGTATCTTCCAGAGACTATGCTTTTGTAAGCTAACTTTCTTCTTCTGGTCGACATAATATGGTGAAGGATACAACCGCATGCGTGATGAGGGCGGTGCCACTCCTTAATCGGTTAGTTGTTGTCCCTGAATAATTTCTAGTACCTTTCATTCTACCCCAGGAGGTGGAAACGTTAAAGACTCGGTGTGACCTTGCTGGACCAAATAAGGTGGTCCTTAAAAAAATACTCCATAGAAACACGGGATCTCGTGGAGCGTGGGTCCATCCCGTCTGAAGAGAGGCGTCTCCATGGGTCCCTGACTGAATTAGGTGGGCAGGTGGAGGATCTCAAAGACCACCTTAAGAAGATTTAGGATGATATCTATCAGAGTGAGCTCGAAGTGGAAGTTATGTCTCTTGTTATCCGAAGTACTACAAAAGAGCTGGCCAAATGGAAAGAGAGTTTGGAAAAAAGAGAGGAAAATCTTCAGGGTCAACGGGTTGTGCTAGATGTCCAATTCCAAGAACATCCTCATATTGATCTCTTGGAAAATGACGCCTTTCTAAAGTGTCATGCACCAATTAAAATCTCTTACCCTAGAGCTTCTTGCTTTTCGCATTTCCTTCCGGCTTCTTTAATCATTTTATGATGTACTATGTCACAGAGTGCTTGCATACATAATGTTAAATGTAGCTGTTTTGTACTTTTAGATACCTTGTTATATTTCACATTTTTATTGTTTGCACTTTGTCCCATCTTGAGAGATACACTTATGCTTTTTTATTTATACTACGCTCCGTGTCACAGAGGATCATTCCCTGACCAAGGGTAAATTATTCATATCCCTTCCCCAAGGTATGACTCAGATGGAGGTGGAGGTCTCCAACCTCTACCACTCATGTTCTTTGGATTGGCTAGATCTGAAGGGGTGTGCTAGATACGCATAGATATGTGTATTTATTTAACAGGTGGGTATTTTAATGTTGTGTTTGAACGTACAAAGCATCTTCGGTAGCACCTTGGGGGAATTGGTTGTTGTAGTCAGACGTACAAAGCGTCTCTGACAA